CCTTCCTCTTATGTTTCGGACGAGTGTATTATTAACATATTAACTATCCGATCGTGCTGCAACCTGCCACCCTAGCTCACTCAGTGAGATGAGAAACTAGATGGGTGAGAAAACTAGTGAACTTAAGTCGGCAGTCTCATAATTGACCTTTATCCAGACCAAATGTTGGTACTGACACCCGAACAGAAAGGAAAAACCATGGGACTAACTATGTTTACTCCAGCAACTCAGAGAGGATGAAACAACCGTATTAGTGAACGGAAATGAGTCTGCAGAGAAAATCAAAGAAATTATAGCATAGATGGTCGAAAATTTCAAGTTGGAAAAAAGGATTGAACGAAACATGTGGGAAAGCAGCTGTCTGTCTGAATAAAAAGAATGAAAGATTTGGATTTTCTGGTCTAAAATGAGTTGGAGAGTTTACTACATTTTGTTAACAAATGCCCAAACCTTAAGGAATTTTCTGTCCCTTAGCTGGCATTCAGATCTGACGACTTAAGATAAATGTGGCTGAGACCGAATCATTAGGTGGCGGCGGTAAGGGATGACAACTCAGTAATTTTGCCATGCTATGCTGCAAAAGTCATTGATACTATATGCCAATTCATTTTTTAACGTGCTGCTCAGAAGACGCTGTGGTAACGGCTACGGGGCTGTTAAGTGCTAAAACAGTCCGCATGTGCATGCAACGAGAGCAACCTCTTTAGATCGGCCAGGATATGCATGCAGGCATTATCTGCGGGTATATCGATGCTATTTAACTGACAATGTTTGGGAATCAGAGAAAAACTCACATCGCCCCTTCTCCGCCCACGCCTCCTCTTCTTCTTTTTACTAATCCTGATCTTTAAGGGGGCTGTCTGTGGAGTGCCGATATTTGAAGACTGTGGCGACTGACTACCTTCTTCGCTATCGTTGTCGCCCATTGCGACTGACTGTGAGGAGTCCACGTTGCTACCATTGGCGTAGGACCTACGCTTGGTTAGGGTACGTGATGCCCCGCGACGACTCGAGTCCAAGTTACTGGATGCATCCTGAGTGTCTTCATCGACGACCTCAAAGGCCGTATTGTCGTCTTCGTCCTCTTCAAGCAATTCTGACGGGATAGGTAAGAGCATCGTTAACTTACCCTCCTCACCCTTGGGTATGTAGGGATTCATTATAGCAAATTCCTTCCATTTAGCGTCCAAAATCTGTTGGATGGCGTCTTTTGAGGCGTTGGCATTCTTTTCTACGATTAACGGCCGTACGTATTGATCAAAAAGTTTTTGCACGGTCCAGTTTTCAAAGTCGTCAGTCGAATATGTCAGTTCTACATCTTCCACACCAAGCTCTTCACACAGCTGTTCCAGCGTCTTTTCCTGTAGCAAGTGGCGAAAAAAATAACAAGCGCTGACACAGGAGTGGGACGAGATAAGGAAAATTTTGCAACAGAATCGAGTAAAAAGAGACAAATCAGTCAATGTTAATAAAGATTACTTAATCGGCAAAGGTACTTTAAAAGGTCAGATTTATGCAACTTTCATCGTATATTTTTTTCCAACACATAATCTGATCATATATTCTGGGACTCAGGAAGATGTAAACAAAGTCTAGACATAAAATGACTTAAATTTTCTAGTCTGCTTGTTAGCATATGGATTATTCAAGAAAAAGAAGGCAGTTTCACTGTATAAACAAGTGTAAAAATATGACATGTTAGTATAAGACGTTTTGACTACTAGAAGCAGAGGAATGAATACAAGGAAGACGCCAATTATTCGGTTGCTAACTCGCTTCGAGGTATGAGAATAATCAAGTTAATGGAGAAGAAATTTGTTCCGGGGTGGACTCTAAAATTACCTTTGATTGCCTTGCGACTTTCCGCTTCGAAGCGCTCCCAGAAGATTCTCCATCATCATCAGTCTGAAGAGAAAGGCAATTAAACAAAGGTGAAACTTACTCGATGTCGTTTAACTCTTGCCCGCTTTCTGATCTCCAGCATGCGAGATCGCGACTTCCGCTTTCTAGCCCGCCGATCAGGGGCTTGGTCTAAAGGTGGCGTAGAGGGGTATAAAGGATTGTCTGGAAGAGCCATATTAACGGCAGCTTAAAGCGCTCAATGCATTTTCTTAATTTTTTTACGTTAGACATCTACTTCGAGAGACCGTTTTGGCAGTATGGCTGTCGGCACAAGAATCGCCAGAAAGTGCGCAAAGTCTGCAGTATGCTGACCGCCAAGAGTTCTGTATTATGTGGACGAAAGAGATGTCAGTTTTAAATTTTTGAAAGGAACACAGCTGACATTTATAGTCAAAGGGAGTGTGAAATTTATGGTCTTTAATTCACATTTAATAGATATTTATACGAGTTTTGGGAGAACCTAAAGGTTCTAAGAATGAAGAGGATGACTGTTTTGAAGGTTTCGCAGTTGTGACTAATTTTAGCTTTCCACAAGCAATGAAATGTGTTAGTTGCTAGTCATATTACATGAGCCGAATATGCTTGAAGGTTGTAGAATTCACTAAATACTTCAAAGCTACCATAGACGGGAACAAAAGTTAATCTGCTTCCTTCAACTGGTGTGACATTAAAGTTTAATTCAGCCTCAAATATTTGGACAGCGGGTCCTTCATCTATTAAACAAGCGAAATAAGTTCTGCTGCTAGACGAACAGCACACTTCCCTAATGTCATATGGAAGATCAAGAATGATGGAGTCTGGAAGTTTGACTAAGGAGGGTTTTGAGCTACATCAACCAACGACGACAGTTCGTCCGATCATCTAAAATAACGACGACAGTAAAAATAACAAATACAGAGACACATTTTTCATCTAGATACTGCAAGAGCCGTAAATGTTTCATGAAACCAGCCGTGGAGCAGTGAGCGGCGGAGTCTACCTAACATAGTAGATATATCTGTCTGGCAAGTTACCTACGGGATTTTCTCTGGTTGGGCAATAAACGGACTTTTACGCGATGTACTACCTGAGACCTACTTTCATGGAAACGCATCGCGTTACCACATCCCAGTTACGTTCTGCTGCAATTCGGAGCATGGACTGCGGCCGCAACAAATATGCAAAAGCAGTTTATATATGTATCAACACGAAGGGCTATTTCCCAAATTCTAAACTAGTCTGAATAAGAAAGCAAACCGCTGATTATATTTCGTTCAAGCGTATAGCAGGAAACCGTCTGCGCCGCGAAAGCTGACTGCCGACACTAGTGACATGGGTTGCATTAGCTACGAGAAGCCCTCTTACTGCGACAAACATGAAAAAGTGTAATATATTGATCAAGCAGAAGGAGTAAAACCAACTTAAACGACATTGATTGCTTGCAAAATCCAAACATAAAGATCTATACGGACCGACATCCATTTTCTTTAGTCCTCCTAAAAGTATCGTTCATTTAAACAAATTTACACTCGGATTCGCTTTTCCTCTGAGGTTTAAACTCGTGGAAGTCAATAACGAAGGTCAATAAACTAAAATCTCAGTTATCGACTCTGAAAACGCAGAAATATCAATATTCTTCCCGCAACCACTCGGAAGTAGTGATGTGGCCAAGTTATAGCAAATACTATTTAGTTTTGTTTCACGTCTGTCAAAGCTATATGTATAGCCTTCCACGGACGAGGACGTCACGATCGTCGCAAGTAGATAAGTTCGCGTTTTCATTGCCCACTCGCGCAAAAATGCTTTAGTTCATTCAATAATCTGAATTACACCCTTTGGGGCCTACGCATTTTGTAGCAGTGCGCATTGAGATGCGTCGTAGCAGTTAGTGGTGAGAAGTCATGAAAATGGTAGCTTTGAGACAACCTGCACACGCTCCTCAACACAAGAAGACATAACGTTATGAAAAATATTTTGTTAACAGAATGTGTGGCGTATAGCGATTGTCCCACTCCATTTCTGAATAACTTGCTCAAGCTAATCCGAACACCTGTGAGGTAGTTGTGGTGTTGCTGATCTCAGGGGCTGAGCAACGTTCTTCAGGTAAAGCCTTTGTCCAAGCGCTCATGTGAGTTTTTTTTTCCTGATCTGTAAAAGCCCGTTACTTTTGTTACTGAAGTTGCAGCATAAGAGGCCCAACGAACACCTGTAGACCTGGCAAGTGCCTCAAATTAGTTTGGCCTCAGTCTGCCGCAAAGGAAGTGTGAAAATAATCAAAAAGGAATTGGAATGTTACTTGGAGACCCAGAAACTCATGTGGTATATATAACGGATGTTCGTAAGGGACGATCTTAAGGGACGATCGTAAATAATGAACTTGCTCTGCGCTATATAAAGTGGCATAGGAACACTGGATGAAAGCACTTGTGGTCATAGGACACCTGACGAGAACAAAGTGGAGCAGCTGCGTCCTTAGCGAAAGGGGATGCACCCGCTTTGCATGCTCTTGGTGATAGAAGAAGGTGTTGCTTGGTATTGGACGTTATTCGAGGCATGTCCACGGAATAAAGTTG